ACCGCAGAGTATTCAGGCATAAAGAACCGGTAACAAACCTGACATCAAAGATTAAAGAGGAGGCCAATACCTAGGTAGTCCTAGCAGGAGCGAAAAGGCTCTATGATTTAATGCCTTAACTTAAATTTTCTTTTAGCCTGTATAGAACTATACTTGTACAATTTTTTTCTACTCTATTCAATAGAATTGACACGCACTACATGCCGATTCGTTAAAAAAATTGTACTAACATATGAAATGCATGTTAAATTAAAATGATCTGTTTTATGTAAATCCACCAAAAAAACTTATATAAGGCCCAGCTGACCATAGATGATTGCTAATGAATAAAACTCTATGAAAATTATTCGAGAGCATAATACATAAATTAAATATATTAATAATTTTAAAAGTTGATTTAAAATGTTTCCTAAAAAAATACCAATGAAATGATATTATAAAAATCGTACCCTCTCCGTTCCGGTGAATAAGACACGGTCAAACTTGGTGCACTCTCCAAAATTAATGTTTTACTTCAAATTTCACATATACTATAATGTTTATAACAACAAAATCATCATGATAATGATATTATTTTCATCATATAAATTTTAATTTTAATAAAATAATTATTGGTCAAATATTTAAAGAGTTAAATCTTAAAATCTGTGCACGCCTTATCTAGTAGGACGGAGGGTACCATTTGGAGCTTGAGAAGCGTGCATATAATAATCGGTCAACAATAATTAACTCAAAACAACAACGAGACCTTAATTAACTTGGCTTTTGATATAACTTTTAGGCCAGAAATACAATGATTGAAAATATCTGTACATGCTGCCTATTAATGTGGGTATGAAGTTCTTTCATGGTTTTCATGTTCAGATATCAAAGTAGTAGTACTATTCACTTATTATTCTTTTTCATAGTCTCCGGTTCAACAATTTTGTGGACATCTGGTGGGCATTGGAAGCAACTTTGTAATTCATCATATATTATATTGTAACATTGGTACATTCTTCCTCTAGCTTGAGGACCTCCATGCTACTATTGGTTTTGCCATTCTCGTATAGCTTTCGTCCAACATCTCTCTCCTCGATACTATTATTCTTGGTCAGGCCACTCTCTAACTTAATTGTTCTCCCTTACAACCAAAACTCTAATTCGATCGTATGGTAATCACCCTCCCTCTCTCATGTGCACGGCTGCCTTGTAATTAGTGCTTTGGCTTCTGGAAACTGAACCTTAATTTTATTCATGAATCATAATTAATTGAATGTTGTAAAAATATAGGATAGTTGAACTTGTCTCTGAAATTACAGGTTCTATAGTACGCTCCTATTTTAAATTGAGTGTCTTCGGAACCATTGAAGCTGGCATACAAATCAAATAAGTAACCTGCCTAAAGTAACCTGCCTAATTGATTTTTCAGAAAGCCTAATTGGTTTAGTGTGTGTATTCTAGAAGTAGAAAAAAAAGGATGAGTTTCTAGCAGCTTGCAACGTCTCGCTCTTTAATTGCACATGCTAGTAACAAAGTGAATAGAACCACTTCGACCTAGTGAGTTGTCCATGTAAAATGGATGGCTAGCTACATCCATGATCCACCACACATGGCTAAAAAGTATCTTCAATTTCAACTGCGAGTTTCTAACCATGTTGTATTACTGATATTCCCTTAGCAAGTTGACCTATGGATGAAGTGCATTCATGACTTCATGTTACCCAAGTGTGGAGCCGACGTCTCAGTTCTTCCTTTCAATGATTAGCCCATAGTTTAGCCCAGCAACAGCAAGTAATAAGACATCAAAAGGTAATTAAGGATGAATTTGATGGGGCTTCGAGCCGGATGCTGATTGAAGGGGCTTTTCCAAAGTCAAAATTAGGTTACAGAAAGATCCAAGCAGAGCCCACAATCTTCTCTAACATTGTGTCCTGTTTGTCCTTTGTTACTAAGTCCACACGTACGACCACCTTAGTTACAGAAAACCTAACCGTTAGATTAGTTAGGGCAAAGTAGTACGGCTACACTTGCCCTTGTTTATTGCTCTCAAGGCATTGGTTTGTTCAAAAGAGAATTCTTATTGGTGAGAAGATGTTGATCACATTAATAGACGAGATTAAATATTTATAGCTCAAGGCATTGGTTTATTCAAAAGAGAATTCTTATTGGTGAGAGAAGAAGGTTGAACACTTAAATAAAAGAGATTAAAATTGCAGTCGTCCATGCCGATGCTCCATGTCTCCGGGGTGGGTCGTTTATGGCACATCTAGCAGTGCACAACTGCACTGAACTAATCATGCATACCTACCCTCCATGTTCTGTCACGCATCTCCATTAACCCGGAGTATAGTTTCAAAATGACGGAGCCAATTGACCATGCAAACTGCCATGTGTGTTAAATTGGCAGACTAATTAATTGACCGTGCAAACTAAGGCCCTGTTTAATTGGGAAAAAGAAAATTTTTGGTGTCATATGTTTGACCGGATATCGAAAGGGGTTTTCGGGCATGAATGAAAAAACTAATTTTATAACTCACTTGGAAACCGCGAGACGAATTTATTAAGCCTAATTAATCCATCATTAGCACATGCGGGTTATTGTAGCACTTATGGCTAATCATGGACTAATTAGGCTCAAAAGATTCGTCTCGCGATTTCCATACAAACTGTCCAATTAGTTTTTGTTTTTATCTATATTTAATGCTCCATACATGTGTCAAAAGATTCGATATGATGTTTTTGGGAAAAAAAATTTAGGAACTAAACCAGGTCTAAGAGCACCCGCAATGGTAAAGTAAGGTGCTCTCTATAAAACATGTACATCTCAGCAATAGACTAGATTAATAGTAAACCACCTCAATGGTATGTTTACATGAGTCTCTATAGCTCTCTAATCCATTGCCTCGTTTTTCTCTATAGACTATCTCTATGTTAGTAGATAGCTTTGCTCTCTCTCTCTCTTCATTTAATCTCTTCGAAGTAGAAAAATATGCTGACATAGATCTCTTGTAAAGAGCCTATAGATAACCATTGCGGGTGCCCTAAGTACTTCATTCATCTCTATTAATTGCATTGTGAAAATCAACGTGGGGCTCCAGCATGTATCATTGAATTAATGTAATTAATTATATAAATTATGTAAATGATTTTCAGTGACAAAGTTTAATGATTTCGATTAAACTTAAAACAATACCATTTGGTATACTAGCTCTTAAACCTAGAAATGTTTGCCAAGATATTGTAGAAAAAGCAATATTTTTGAAAGGCACTTGAGATATAATAGTTGTGGTTGTACGATTTTCATTACGGATTCGGTGCACATATTTAGTATTTAGTTGTCCTAGGGATTTTTCCACAAATCTGACAAATTGGACCATTTCGAAAACTTATTTTGAAAATGGATCATGCAAAAAACATCAATAAAAAAAAAGATCGAGAGCTCAGCTCCATGGGACTTGACGCTGACGCCCAATAGGTTAGCAACAATGCCATGGCGCTGACCATATGGCGGAAAAGTTAAAAGTACTATAGGGCAACTTATAATCATATCCAAGTGCAGTGTAGTGGTAAGTATATGCGAAACAAGGGTAGTAGAACCCCATCAATTGGATCTTTTTATTGTCTTTCTATTTTTTGTATTCGCACCGAAAAAAGGGCAAAGGGAAAAAAATCGTGTCTTTCTCTTTTTTTTTTATTCACCACAGCGACGCGAAATGAAAAACAAAGAAGGAAATAAAATCGTTGATATATTTTCTGTATTCGCCACCGCGACACGAAAAGGAAAAACAACGAACATGGAAAACACATGAATCAAAATAGAGACAAGACACAAATATTTTTTTTCTAAGAGGTTGGACCACATTTCAAATTCCTCCCCCCCCCCCCTATGTTTTGAGCCAATTCTAAGAAATTTCATACGAGTTTTGGATAGCTATTCGTTTGATCAAGAATCATATATAGAAAAAAACTCAATCTCTACTATTATAAAAATTGAAGATGTTTTTACCGGTATTTTGATACGTCATCCGTGTATGAGTCAGTTTTTAAGTTCGTTTGCTTTTAGAAATACATATCCGTATTTGAGTCGGTTTTTAAGATCGTTCACTTTTGTTAATATAGAATGAATCATATAAGAAATATGTTTAAAAAAACTCGCATGTTAACTTAAGACGATCGGACTCCTAACTGTAGCTCATGATTTTCCAAAAATATGTATATCCAAGCGAACTTACACAATGAATTTCATCTTAACTAAACCATATAACAATAATAAGATTAAAATAGACTTCACCCGTTGCAACGCACGGACATTTTTTTTACTAAGATTAAATTTCTCAAAGAACCCTTTGTTTCAAAAAAAAAGTCCTAATAAGGATACAAAAGAGTAATTATTATGAAACATCATGTTTTATGGTCAAAATTGCATAAAACCCTACATATTTTGACTTGTGGCATTTAACCAAGTATTATGTATTATAGTTCGAAAGTTTCACAAAATACCCCTATGTATATTGAGTATGAATTTATTTAAAATTTTAAAACATACATAGAGTGTATGTGATTTTCTTTAATTAGAGTTCTTGCCTAAGGTTGATAGTTAGCTCTACACTACTTTTAAAAATATTATTTCAGATATGTCGAAATTAATTGAGATTTGAATAAAAGTGGGTTTTATAAAACATCAAGACCATAAACATGTAGTTACAAATCATAATACATGTGGTTTCATACAACTTTTACCATAAAATATGATGTTTCCTAAAATTTACATTTAGAAAAAGATTCTTCGCTTTCATAAATTTCATTTACTCCACCTAACCACATGTTAAAATTCCTCCCCTACGCTCTGAGCCAATTCTAAGAAATTTCATATAGGATTTATGGATAGCTATTCGTTTCATCCAGAATCATATAGAAAATTTTTCTATAGGATTAAATTCCTTAAAGAAAACTTTGTTTCAAAAAAAAAGTCCTGATAAGGATAAAAAGACCATCTTGGTTTTCATAAATTTCATTTACTCCATCTGGCCTCCTCCCCTCCATTTTCTCTCCCTCGCTCCCACATTATGGATCCAGCATCCCCTATACATTGACTCCCCTCCCAACCTCTTCTCTCCTCTCTCTCTCCCCTTCTCTTCTCCCTCTCGATCTCGACATACACTACACACCCTGTTCTTGCAGTACGCCAATTAAACCACCACCTCGTTCCTTTCCCTCATCTGCAAAGATCAAGCTCCACCGGAGTTGACGTACGAGGATGATGATGATGATGAGTTCTCTCTTCACTTGCGTCGTCGCCTCCATTTCGCGGAGGAAGAGGAGATGCGCTGCGACGAGAGCCTAATTAAGGCCACGCCGCCATTGTTGGTGTTGACTGGTGAGCTCGTCGTCGTCGTCGCCGTCGTACCTCCTCCCCGTTGTTCTTCCCTCGCTTGCACGCCGCCGCCGCCATGAGCCACTACACAATGCATGCGCACATCAACTACACCGCCCTGCCGCCGACGTCGCCGCTGCAGCTCCCGCTTCCGTACCTCCCGCCGCCTCCTCCGCCGCCGCAGCCGCCATTGCTGCAGCTCCAGCCGCCGCCGCCGCCGTCGTCGCCGGTGTCATTTGACACGGCGTTCCAGAGCAGGATCAGCCCTAGCATCCTGCTGATAATCTTGATCTTGGCTGTTATTTTCTTCGTCTCCGGGCTCCTGCATCTGCTCGTCCGGTTCATCCTCCGCCCGGCGCCGCGTGACGCCGGCGACGCCGACAGCGGCGACGCGAACGTGACCGCCTTCCAGGGGCAGCTCCAGCAGCTGTTCCACCTCCACGACGCCGGCGTGGACCAGTCCTTCATCGACACGCTGCCGGTGTTCCTCTACGGCGCCGTCGTCGGCGCCGGCAGGAAGGACCCGTTCGACTGCGCGGTCTGCCTCTGCGAGTTCGCCGACGACGACCGCCTCCGGCTCCTCCCCAAGTGCAGCCACGCCTTCCACGTCGACTGCATCGACACGTGGCTGCTGTCGCACTCCACCTGCCCGCTCTGCCGCCGCAGCCTCCTCGCCGACTTCTCCCCCTACGGCGGTGGCTGCAGCCCGCTGCTGTTCGTGCTCGAGTCCGGCTCGGAGGGCTCCATCTCCGATCGCCTCGACGCGGCGTCGTCGGCTCATCTCAGCCTCGTCATGGAGCAGGAGGAAGAAGCAGAGCCGGAACAGAAGCATGCAGAGGCGGCGGAGAAGGCGGACGAGGTGGTCGTCTCCGTCAAGCTTGGCAAGTTTCGGAGTCAGGCCACCGAAGTCGCCGCCGGCGGCGGCTGCGGCGGCAGCAGCAGCGCCAACCCCGAGCAGGACGTGCGGCGTTGCTACTCCATGGGGACGTACGAGTACGTCATGGACGAGAGGTCTCTGCTCCGCGTCGCCGTGAAGCCGCCGGCCAAGAAGCGCCCCACGACGCAGATGCCGGGCCACCGGGTCGCCATGTCGGAGTGCGACTGCCACTCCAAGCGGGAGAGCTTCCGCGGCCTCGACGCGCTGCCCGGCGGCAAGCTCGCGCAGGCGCAGCCGCCGAAGCCGCCGGCCAAGGTGGGGAAGAAGGAGAGCTTCTCCTTCTCCAAGATATGGATGCGCGGCGCGCCGCGGATCAGGAAGGACGGCGCGTCCTCCCGGCGCGCGTCGTCGTTCCGGCTCTCCTCCGTGCTGCAGCGCGCGGCGAGCGACGTCGGGGCAACGGCGGCGCCGAAGCCGCTGCGCCCGGACGTCGTGAGCCCCGTCACGGAGTCGGAGTACAACGTGTCGGCGTGGGACAAGAGCGAGAAGAGCGCGAGCGGCAGCGTCGCGGACTGGGACCTCGAGTCCGCCGCCGCCACGGCGGCCGTCCCCGGCGCAGGCGCCGGCAACGGGCTCAGCTCGAGGGCCGACGAGGCGCCGTCGTTCGCGCGGCGGACGCTGCTGTGGATCCGAGGACACCTGTGAAATGATCCATCCATGGAAGCATCATAGCTCTTCGTTCTTCTTGTGCATTCCCGCCATTAGATTGATTCATTCATTCACGCGGAGAGTGTGGAGTGGAATCGAAGAAATTCACGAGAAATTTGTGTTGAACGATCTGTGAAGTGAATACTACACGGTAAAGAATTTAACTACTATTGTTTGCAGAGCATTGGAAATCTTGTGTCATTCTGTGTAGCTTGTACTTTGCATTTACTTGTTTTCAACTGTACATTGCTCCAGCAGCAAGGGTTTTCTTCAGGTTCAGGGTAAATTTCTGGTCTGAAACTGAAACATCACAAAAAATCGAAATGTAAACATCAATTTGATCCAAACAAATTCTCATAGGGCAATCTCAGCGAGAAAAATTGCTCGGCATTTTGTTCCATTTGACTTTTGCTCTGTTCGATCTGGAGCATAAATTCGTCCGGATCTAGCGACACAGGAGGTTGAGAGATTTGAAAAACAAATTTGAAAGAAAGCATAGCCACTTCTAGTACACTGCTCCTCCTACTCCACATCACATTTAACCCTTGGTTTGTTGAATTGAAGAACGCTGCCATCATTGCCGCCATGAATGCCTGAGACAGTTAGTAGGTCTACTTCTGTGCTACTCCACCCCATTACTTCTCGGCTCCTAACGAGTTAATATGCCTACTGTTGGCATTCGAATGCAGTGCCTTGGTTGTTCATCCATCGTACAGCCATTCCAGATTTTGTGAGGGAAATCATTTCGAAATGGCATCAGATTAAAGAAAGGGAGTACTTGAAAATTATAGAACTTGTTAATTTGGGCATAAGACACACTACTTTTTTGAACCTGATAACACACACTACTTACTGAGAGAAAAATGAACTACTAGTATATACGAATACGAGGTTGTTGCTGGATTAATTTGTTCTACGAGTACATTAGTAGTAGTAGTTCTCATTAAAATTATCGGCATAAATATAGTACTACTACTACTACCCCTTAAAACATGGATAGCTGAAGATTCTCCTAGCTACTACTAAGACCCAAGATTAAATTACGGGTCAATGCTTAGACTGAAAAAAAAAAAGCTACTACTATAGTTGACCTCTCAGCAACTGCATAAATTTAAATATTGAAACAAACAATTAGCAAAAATATTTCTCTTTCATGAGTGACTACTGACTAGGGCCAATCTGCTGTCTTCTTGGCATAAACGAAGCCCGTTTAAACCGCGTAGAATTTCGGGATAAGTGCTGCGTGAAATCTTCCGGAAAGGCCAGTTCCCAAGTGCAGTCCAGAACAAGATTACATATATGGCTGTATTTAATTCATTAGGGTTAATCATTCGGTTTTTGTGACACCGTTGGCCGTAGGTTCGTAAAAATTGATCAGTTTTAGCCGGTTCCGTACAACGTTTAACTTTAAGTAGTCAGTTTTACCCATTTTCGATCGGTTTTTGATAAACCGCTGGGAACCATGGGAGCGGTTTTTACTTTGAAATCGGAAAAGCAAGCCCTGCTCCACATAAGTTGTTTAGAGTCTCGCTTACCATTCAGGGTGTGTTTAGTCCACGTCAAAATTGAAAGTTTAGTTGAAATTGGAACGATGTGACGAAAAAGTTAAAAGTTTATGTGTGTAGAAAAGTTTTGATGTGATAAAAAAGTTAGAAGTTTGAAGAAAAAGTTTGGAACTAAACTCGGCCTCACGAGAGTTGTAAACCATCAAGTGGTAAACCAACAAAAAGAAAGTTTCAAGCAGAGTAGTAGTAGGTAACAATTAACGTATTGAAAAAGCTGTTTAATTAGGCCTAGAAAATCATGCTCTCATTACATCACAATCCAAATAGCTCAAGTCAGATGTGTGATGAGAGCTTGCACGACCAAACAGCAGAAAATGTGTTAGATCAGTTTAAAGCGTGTCCGTGCATGCGATCACTGGATAGACATGTTACATGTACAAGACCTCAAGTCTCAGGAAGTTGCTAGACAGAGTTTGTGTCAAAGCATAAGTTAAATGCTCATGAAAAAGGGCTCAAGTCCTTTGAAGTTTGGAGTCATCATCAAGTTTATCTTGTAAAGAAAACATGCAATATTCGAGTTCCATATGTTGTGAAAATCCTTTTCCAAAGATGCTTATGAAAAAAAAAATCAAATGTGATACATTATTTACTTATGCTATCTAATGGTCATCCTCAGATGATGTAGGAGTAGCTGATAGCTCATCAATTCATTTGCTCTACTTTCTTGTAGCTGCACTCCTGCAAGGACACTAGACAGAGAGGGCAGAGACCAACCACTCTGTATTGATGAGTAAAGGAATATTGCTTAACTGGCAAGTTAATTGCATATATAAGTGGTTATTTAGTCCAACAAGTAACAACTACTGCAGTTTAATTATCTGATACTTTCCCAGCGAAACATTTATTTAGAGTAACTTAATACCATTTCTATTTACAGGAGCCGAAACTTTGATGGATGTCATATAAAACGAAGAAGAAAAGAATGGTTCGGTCTCCGAGAATACTAGCATTACATCCATTATATATACCCTCCGTTTTTTAAATAGACGACGCAGTTAACTTTTAGACACATGTTTAACCATTTATATTATTTAAAAATTTTGCACAAATGTATAATATATAAATCATACTTAAAGTAATTTTAGTGTTTAAACAACTTACAATAAAATAAATAATAATTATGTATTTTTTTCAAATAAAATGAAAGATTGTTAAAAGTCAACGGCGTTATGTGGTAAGAAACGGATTCAGCTGTGAACTTCAAGCATTCATGTTCATGTACCCCTGAAATACCTGCAACTCATGGGCTTCCATAGTGCCGTAGGCCGTGTCTGCAGAGCATGTAGACTGTAAAACAGATTTCTATAGAAAGCAAGTAGTAGTAGTTAAACTTGGTGTAATTGTACACTCCCATCGTAAGTATAAGAAAAAAAATTAAATTTTAGAAATTAATTTAAAAGTTGATTTTGTGGGTTTTTAATCCTATTTTTCTAATATTTTCTTTTAAATTAGTAAAAACACGTATTAAAAAAATTTTAACTATAAATTATTTTTAATTGCTAATAAGTTGTTTTGCTTATAATAAGTATAAGCAAACGATGAGGCTAGTAGTATTACCCCTTACCACCTCTGTTCTTAGAAGGAGGTTGTTTTGGACATTGATATGGTCCAATACACATATTTTATCATTACTTTTTCAAACTATATATTTATAGAAAAATATAACTACATGAAAGGGTTTTTCATAATAATCTACGAATATAAATTTTCATATTTTAAATCCTAATATTTTTTCAGCTATTAGTGAATTAAGATTTTGGGTTTGGCATTTTAGGACTACATTTTTTTTAGAAAGAAGGCAGTACAAAGTTTCTTCTTTTAATATAGTCCTTCCAATTTTGTTGCAAAAATGAATCCCTAATAATCTCCTTTTTCAGAGCACAATAGTTTGTTGTGTTGAGAAGATGAGCATTTCAGTTCTAAGAGCAGGTACAATAGCAGGCTATAAGCCAGCTGCAAACATATTTTAAGGAGTTAGATGAGGAAAGAGAAGGGCAGCGGGCTACAGATTTGTAGCCAGCTGTAACGCGGACTCCAAGACGCGGTGTGTGTATTAATAGTGTAGTATGTACCTATTGTATGAATGAGCTATTAGATTGGCTATAGATGAATTGGAGCTAATAGTTGACTATCCTATTAAACTTGCTCTAAGGGCGAATTCCACTGTAAGGCCTTCTTTATGGTCCATAATCTTGTGAATTGATCATTTCCAGCCCATTTCAACTGGGCCTGAAGGATAATTTGTTCTTTCTTTTCTAAAGGAATAAGTTCAACTAAGGTCCCTTAACTTGTCAACGAATCCGATTTTCTTCCTTCAACCGCAAAACCAGATACAACGGGTCCCTCAACTATCAAAACCGGTGTAGATTAGATCCCTCAGAGGTTTCGATGGCGGTTTAGGCTGATGTGGCGCTTACGTGGCTAATTTGACTCGGTCTCAATCTGATGTGGCGCTTACGTGGCAATTCGATCCGAAAAAATAATAAATCCCGTGGGACCCACATGTCAATTTCACACACAAATTAATAAAGAAAAATGGCGGGGCCCACATGTCATTCTCGCCCCCTCTTCTTCCTCCTCTCTCCCATCTCCCCTCTTCTTCACCTCTCTCCCCTCTCCTCTCTTGCTTCGGCGCTCACCCCGCTCTCCTCGTCCCCAAGCCTCTCTGACCTCAGGGAGCTCTTCGACCGCCTCCTCGCCGCCCGCCACGAGCTCCGCGAGCGGCAGGAGCACCTCGCCGCGCGCCGCTCCCTCCTCCCCTGCCGGCACCGCCGCTCGCTTCCCGCCGTCCCCGGATGGCAACTCCTCGTTGTGGCCGATTAGACCACGCCCCCCGACTAGTCGCACGCGGGGCTGCGCTGCTCACGCACGCTGACCAGGCGAGCTTCGGGTTCCGCTCCGTCGCCTTCCTCCTCGCGCATAGCCACGCCCACAAGGTCGCTGCCTACCTCTTCACAGTGCTCGTCATCGAGCCGTCCGACCGGGGCACCGCCACCGCCGCAGCCCTCGACAGCTCTTCTCCCTCCCTCTCCTGTCCTTCTCGCTCGCATGGATCTCTGACACGTTGTGTCCTCTGCTGCTGCTCAATTCTTCAGGACAAAGCCGCTGGCGTGTGACCCGGCGAGCTTGCCCAAGCTCCCGCTGAGCAAGGAGTACAACGCCAAGCTCCGCGGTAAGGAGGCCATCAGGCAAAACACGACAGCCATCGGAGGCAAGGGCTCCATGTTCATCAAACCGGGGAGGAACAAGCCGTCGAAGGCGGCGCCAGCACAGGACGCCATTGGAGGAGGAGCTCACCGGCGCGCGCCTGGTGCACCCGAAGAGCGCGAGCCACCACTACAGCTCGCTGTGCCGTTGACTCTCTGTCGTGCCTGGAGAGAGGAGAGAGAGATGAAGAAAGGGGAGATGGCGGAGAGGAGGAGGAAGAAGAAGAGGGGTGAAAATGACATGTGGGGCCCACATTGGCTCCACCAGTTTTTATTAATTTGTGTGAAACTGACATGTGGGTCCCATGAGGTTTATCAGGATCGAATAGGCACGTAAGCGACACGTCAGATCGAGACCGAATCAAATTAGCCACGTAAGCACCACGTCAACCAAAACCTCCATCGAAACTACCGAGGGACCTAATCTGCACCGGTTTTGATAGTTGAGGGACCCGTTGTATCTGGTTTTGTGGTTGAAGGACGAAAATCGGATTCGTTGACAAGTTAATGGACCATAGATGAACTTATTCCTTTTCTAAATAGCACCTAAACTTATTGGAAAAAGGAATAAGTTCATTTTTGGTCCCTCAATTTTTCATCCAATCTGATTTTCTTCATTGAACCAGAAAACTAGATACAACCCGTCTTACAACTTACAAAACCAGTGCAAATGAGGTCCCTCGGTAGTATTGTCCCCCCCTTTTGGCTAATGTGGCTCCTTTAATCTTCGTTTCACGTGGTATTGATGTGACATTTCATAGTTTGCTCTAGAAAAAAATAAAGAAGCAAAATTGAAAACAAAAAAATTAAACAATACATGCGGGACCCACATGTCAGTAAAAAAATAGTAGGCCCCACTTTTCCCACTTCCTCCACCTCACCCTCTCTACCTTATCTCATAATCTCTTCACCGAATGGCTGAGAGGGAGAGGCGGGGTGGTCAGCTAGGCAGCAGCTAGGGATAGGAGGAGACGGGGAGGATGAGGGGGTCAGAGAGGCTAGGAAGCTTTCTCCCTCTCCACCCCCTCGTCGGCCGACCTCTGGCGAGGAGTTTGGTGGAGCCAGAGTCGAGGGACGAGGATTTGGGAGGGAAAGGAGAGCGGTTGCTCCTCTCTTCTATCGTCATGCTGAGTGCCACTCCTCTCTCCCGCCGGCCGCTGTGCGGCGCTCCTCTCCCCCACATGCTCCGCCCGTCACCCGCTCCGTTCTTCCTACCTGCCTCACCCGCCCCTGCCTCGCTCCACCAACCTGCTCCGCTCCGCCCTGCTCCTAGCATGAGAGAGAGAGAGTGGGGATAGATAGAAGAGGGGAGGAGTGAGGATTTTGTGTGTAATTGACATGTGGGTCCAATGGTTTTTATTAATTTTTTAGATCGAATTGTCACGTAAGCAAGTCAATGCCGTGTGAGATAAAGACCTAGTCAAAGGAGCAACGTAGATACCACGTCAGCTAAAACTGGGGACAATACTGTCGAGGGACCTCGTTTGCCTTATTTTGTAAGTTGGGGGATACGTAGTATCCAATTTTATGGTCCATGGATGAATTTTGGACTCGATGACAAATTGAACTACCTAGAGTGAACTTATTCCTGCGAAAAAAAAGAGCACCTTTAAGCTTTTTAGCATGGTTCAAATCTCAACCCAGTCAGGGAATTGCCCATGAAGAACGAGATAGTAGGCCCAGTTCAAATCTATCCCTTCCGATCTGGTAGTCCATCCGCCAATCAGCGCCATGGCCAATATTCATGCTCCGAATTTCGTGTGCCAGGCTACAATCGTTTTGGGCCTGTGGGCCTTTTATTCGGTGTATTGTTACTTTGTCACTTCTCCAGCTTGGGCCGACGAGGTCTCGTATGATTATTGTAAGGAATAAGTTAATCTGAGGTCCCTTAACTTGTCGACGAATCCGATTTTCGTCCCTCAACCGAAAAACCGGACACAACGGGTCCGGTACAGATGAGATCCCTCGGCGGTTTTGAGAGCGGTTTTGGCTGACGTGGCGTCTACATGACTAATTTGACTCGGTCTTCATCTGACGTGGCGCTTACGTGGCAATTCGAGCTGAAAAAATAATAAAACCCATAGACCCACATGTCAGTTCCACACACAAAATAATAAAAAAAATGGTGGGACCCACGTGGCCCCACATGTCATCCTCACTCCTCCCTCTCTCTCTATCCTCTCTCTCCCCTCTCCTCGGCGCTGACGCTTCCCATCCACGCATTACTCAAAGCGGTGGCCGTCGACGTCGACCCACCTCGCGTCGTCCTCGTCTTCGGCGGCGGGCCCATCCGCGTCGGCGCCGAGCTCCTCGACGCCGTCCCGTCGCTCCGCTGCATCATCACCATCAGCGCGGGGATCAACCACATCGACCTCCGCGAGTGCGCGTGTCGCGGCGTACAGGTCGTCAACGCCGGCGGGGTCTACTCCACCGATGTCGCCGACTACGCTGTCGGCCCTGTTCGACGTGCTCGTCGTGGCATGCGCGCTGACAGCAGAGACACGGCACATCTGGACCGGGGGCGTGCTTGACGCGCTGGGGGAGCACCGCGTGGTCGCCCGCTTCTGCTATAGGGAGCAGCTGGATCTCCATCGGGTTGCAGCTGCAAATGCAGATGAAAAGAGGTGAAATTTCTGATGACATGCATCAGCTTTGGTTGTGATTCCTTCTCCCTTCTCCTGTTCTTGGGTAGACATGGCCTTTGATGTTCTCTATGGTTTCATATGATTGTATTGCTGCTCTCTTACTTTGCTGCGAGATCGTCTTTTTGCAGGTTTCTTTTGAGGACTATCTCGTCATCACCAGTTCAACCTTTATGAATTTAAGAGATTGTATCTTTTTTTTTCTTTTGGTGGTAACATTCTTCCCCAATCTGCCTTCTGTTTCTTCAAAGATAAGGGCTGGTCGGGGATTTAGGAACTCATTCGGTTTTCATGTTTGCTCCGCGTGGTTTCAAGATTTTAGTTCATTCATGCGTTTATTAATCTACCTTTTTCCCCTATGTTGTTCATCAAATGATGATGCTTTTTCTTTTCTGGGGATGTCTTTCTTTTGTTGATTTCTTTTTCGACCGCCACCGACCTCGCCGCGAGCTCCAACGTGCTCGTCGTGGCGTGCGCGCTGACGGCGGAGACGCAGCACATCGTGGACTAGGGCGTGCTGGACACGCCGTGGGCGTGGTCGTGAACGTGGTGTGCGGCGCCAACATCGACGAGGCGGAGTTGGTGCGTGCGCTGGCGGAGGGAAGGGTCGCCGGCGTGGGGTTGGAAGTGTTCGAGGACGAGCCCAACGTGCCACCGGAGCTGAGGGCCATGGACAACGTGGTGCTCCGCCGGCTAGCCGCTCCGCCCCGCCCGTCGCCTGCTCTGCCGGCTGCCACTCGCCCCGCTCCATCGGCCGGAGAGAGGAAAGGGATAGAGAGAAGAGGGAAGAGAGAGGATAGACAGAGGGAGGGAGGAGTGAGGATGACAGGTGGGGCCCACGTGGGTCCCACCATTTTTTTATTATTATTTTGTGCGTGGAAATGACATGTGGGTCCCATGGGTTTTATTATTTTTCCGGATGGATTGCCACGTAAGCGCCACGTCATATGAAGACCGAGTCAAATTAGCCACGTAGGCGCCACGTCAGCCAAAACCACCCTCAAAACCGCTGAGGAACCTTATCTGCACCGGTTTTGATAGTTAAGGGACCCGTTGTGTCTGGTTTTCCGGTTGAGGGACGAAAATCGGATTCATTGACAAGTTAAGGGACCTAAGATGAACTTATTCCTTATTGTAAACTATAATAAGTATATTATATGTGCTATTATCTCTTTTATTAGCAAATTCTCTCTCATATACCACATAAAAATATTTTCCAAAAAATTAAATAAACCAGAAAAAAAACTTGAAACTTGTATATAAACTTCCATGTTGTGTAAGGATGCCACATAAAAATTTTCATATTGTTTTGAATCTTGTGATGAGATAAATCAATTGTTAATCTTGTGTGTCTCTAAGGGTATTGTGGGTATTTTTTAAAAGAATATCCAGTGCGATGGCATATTTTAAAGAATTGATAAAGTTGCCGGTATACATCGTTAAACTCGAATAAACTCAGTGGTATAGAATAGATTCTCTCCTTGATGGGCTACACTCCCAATGCCTCTCACTGTCAACGGTCCCGACGTTGCTCGCCGTCGACTAGAGAGGAGGCAGGCCCGGCGCAAGACCGCTACAATCCATCCTCCACCGTCGTAGATAGGAGGCGGAGGTTGAGGTGTGGAGGTGCTAGGGGGAACCCCTCTCCCTCTTCCTTGCCTCCATTTCAATCATCCTCCAATGCCGCGAACCGACACCTTCCAGTCTTGGGACCCCTCAACTAAGCTTCATGCAGTCACCAATCATCGCCCATGCTCCCTCGCTGGCCTCTGTCAGTCTCTCCCCAGGGAGAATAAAGGGAGACGAGAGAGAGGATAGGGAGAGAAAGGGATGATGATGCTGTTATTTTTTATTTATTTTTCAAAAATATGTGGATCCCATAAGAGCCACATAGGACGATGCTATTAATGCAGTCAAGGGACTCGGTTTGCTCTGATTTTTGAATGTGGGGAGACGTGACGTTATATCTGGTATTGCGGTTGAGAGAGACGATTCAATTAGTAACAAGAGTTGAGGGAGACAAAATAGAATTGCTTGCAAACTCGCAATGGTCAATGGGCCAACATATGACACACCGCAAGTTCAGCCTCTTGCAGAAAGCCTTCGACGTATGCCATTACGACCATATGCCTGCGTCGTCGTCACTGACAATTCCTTGTCAACGAATGACGAATGAACAGGGCAATGCCGATGAAAACGCCGTTGCATATTCCAACCACATCCAAACGCAACGCAACGCAGCCCCCGGCAGGTGACAAGCCAAACACTAAAAAAGAAGCATGAGACGCCGGGGGACTTCGTCGCCGGGGGGGGATCGACACGTCTGACAAGTAAACCCGACGGCGTGGAGCCGGCTCGTTGGCCCGCCGAGGCGCCGACTTTTCTCCCTCCGTCTCTCGATGCATCACGTACGGTCGTGTTCGCAGGACGTGCGAAGGTGATGGCACGTTGACAAACCACGCCGACTGGTGACATTGCGACAAATTTTCGCTCGCGTTTTGCGAAAGCATGGTTAGACAAAAAACTCTCGTTGAACGGTAAAGCCAATTTGGAATCTGGATCCTGGTTGACCCTTCCATATCCTAGTCTTACATCCTTCACACAATTAGCATAATAATGTAGTAATAAAGTATTGGAGTTGTACTAGGATATTTGGCTCAGGAGGACGAGGACTAGACGAGGAGGATGAGAAGTGAACGGCACCCGTCCGGTCCCTGACTTGCTGTTGCACTAACCAGGCAAAAAGTATGGGCGATACAGTAAAATCCAGCGCTAAAACGTGGTGTGCCGCGCGAGTACAATTCCACCCCCCCCCCCCCTTTTTTTTTCCCGCGTCTATTTTTTGCACGTCCCACGACAGCGGCCAGCCAGCATGGGCCGCCCCGCCCCGACCCACCGCACGGACCCGGATCGCTCTCACCACACCACGTGCCGTAGCGCTCGCCATCAGCCGCGTCGCGTGCCTCGGCGGACGCGGAAATCCTGTCTCACACTATCCGCCTCTCGGCTCTCTCTCGCCCCAGCCAGCGCCGCATGCGCGGGGCGGAGGCGCGTGTTTTGGCCAACGAGATTACGAGACGGGGTGGTGGGGGGATCACGGGTAAATCACGCGAAAAGTGGGGATTTGCCGATTTGGACGCGTCGTGTGCGGCCGCTTCGCATCTGGGAACTTCCGCCTCTCGCCGTTGGGTCGGTGTCGAACGGTGGATGGATTGGGCCGCCGTGGCTAGGCAGGTGGCCAAGTTTCACACACACACACGGTTCGACGTCGCTGGTTGACTTCACACGACACGGGCACTGTTTCTTTTCTTTAACATGCGGGGTTTTTTGGAAATCGGGAGCGGCGACGATGACGCGAGTCGAGTTTTGACATCCTCTCCTCTCAGAAAAAACAAAAATGTTTTTGACATTCTTGACTGTGTTTAGATTAAAGTTCAGTCTTTTCCATCATATCAACCTGTCATATACATATAACTTAACTTTTCAGTTACATCATCTTAAATTTTAATAAAATTTAAACTTTACGCTGAACTAAACACAGCCCTTATCAATTGCCGCTTGGGCCTTAGGCCCTGTTCCATCTCTCGGTTGAGAGTGATTTTTTCTCATGTACACAAAAAAAAGAAAAGTCATTACTACATGATTAATTAAATATTAATTATTATAAATTTAAGAGATAAATTTATTTGAACTTTTTAAAAAATTCCTATAAAAAACTTTTTGTTAAAAATACACCATTTAACAGTTTAAATAACATGCTAATGGAAAACGAAGTTTTGTCTAATTGAGGATTTTGAAGTTTGGAGTTGAGAAAAAGAATTATGCCTGGCTATGCAATATTGCAATGCAACGAGTTTGGTCTCACGTGCCTTGTTAAGGTTAGGTTGTGATTATGGACGAGATGACGTGGGTGAACGTGTCAGGTTAGGTTGGGCGTCTCGCCCTCGATCGTGGCCTGCAATCGACGCGGTGCCCTGCCCAGTCGCGGTGGTTCGGTCGGTGCAAAACAGTGCCTGTACTGATATGCAGTACTACTTCACGTGCTATCTCGGTAGTTATGTTGTGTGCAACACAGCTGGGTCGGTGGTTGACGGTAAGTAAGTTCATTTATACACATGGACTGACGGATATTACAATTTGGTTATCTTATACTTCTCCATTTAGATTTATTCTTATGTATACGTGTCACGGGATAACGATGCCAGTGCTTCCATCATCTCTGTTCTCACACGTATGCACTTTCATCGGCTACATGGTACGATCATGCTTTACTTGAAGCTGTGGCTTACTTCATCATTTTTAAATCTCGTAATTTCATTTTGCGATGAATTTAATGATTTTTTATTTTGAACTAATGAGGGTAAAAGTACAAAAAGTCTTACTCTTAGATTATTTGTGTTGCATATGTCATATGTCTTCGGCATATAAATCGTGGACAAAAATGTCTATCAAATTAACATGTCTGTCATACCCAATTTACTTTAAAATCGGCAACATATAATAGATGAGTTGGCATAATTGTTACAAAATTTTAGAAGTGTTACCATGATTTAAAAAAAAATTCTAGGACATATGTACGCGTACAACAGCAATCCGGAAAAGGTGGATGCAATGTTTGTGAACATTTTTTATTATATGAAAGACACACATGTACATACTACACCTCTAAACACTTACTGCACCAAACATCTCTAAACACTTACACCACACCTAAAAAAACCATGGGTATGTTTCATTGGCACGTACTCCCTCTGTTCCAAAATATAAAAATTTTAGAGGGATGTGATATGTTCCTCCAAAATCCCTTATATTATGGAACGTGAGGAGTACTTATGGAAGCCAACTGTAAATATTAATGTTCTCTAGTCATAGGTACTGACATTTGAATTTGGGACAATTTCGTTCTTACCCTTACTTTCATCTCCAATATTGATTTTACCCATATTTTTTAGGTTTTCATTTTTGCACCCGTTTTTCTGATCTCAATAAGCCGTTTACCCCTCTTTTTTATGGAAGGTGGTGGAGCCGTTGTTGTTGCGGTAAAAAAATAGAGAAAAAAATAAATAATAATTTCTAAAATATTGATTGACTTTTGTGCCCTTAGGACATTTGAGACTTATCTGCATTCACTCCACTCCTGACCCGAATCATTCCCCATTCACTAACCTAGCGACAGCGGCAGTGGCGACTCGTGCTTGCGGTGGTGGCAGCAGGCGACGGTGAGTAGCAGCCGTCAGTAGCGTTCCGACCCGCGGCGAGGAGCGGGAGCAGGTGGCAACGGTGACCCGCGCTTGAGGCGGCGGGGGCAGGTGGCATAGCAGCCGACGGTGGCGCCTCGACCCGCTGTGGGGAGCGAGCTACGCGACGAGAGCAGGCGGCGGCAGGGCATGCGGCATAGCAGCCGTCGACGCAATGGCGGGCCTACAGTAGGAGATTGGGGTACAGTTGTACCCCTAAATTTTTAACAATATAGTATGATTTAACAAGTATAATATTGTCTGATAGTTCAAAACACCCAATCTTAAGCACAAAATCATGCTTTCCAATAGTATTATAAAACTTTTCTTAACTATTTTGTTATTTCTATAATAATTATTTTTATTTGCCCTAGTAACCCATGTTAGCACTTCATTTTTTTTTCACTGGACGATGCTTTGGTAGGTCTGTACCCCATCATCGAAATCTTGCATCCACCACTGCTTCGACGGCGCCTTGACCTACGGCGGGGAGCAGGCTACACGGCGGGAGCAGGCAGCGGCTTCGACCCGCGCTTGAGACGGCGGGGACATGAGGCATAGCAGCTGTTGGCGGCGCCCCGACCCAAGGCGAGCTGGAGGCCATGCATTAGGGCTGTCAAAAAAGCTCGGAGCTCGCAAGCTGCTCGAGCTTGATTCGTTACAGGCTTGATTCGAGCTCGGCTCGAATACTAGACAAGCCAAGCTCAAGCCAAGGTTGAGGCTCGCAAGCCTAGCAAGCTCGAGCTCGAATAGCTCGGCAGGGCTTGATTAGTATAAGATGCATTGCATGTAGAAGATATTTTTGATGGGTCAATGTATACTTGTCATCGTGCTTGACCTGCTCAAGTCTCAAGACCTCATCGATGCTTCTCAATAAAGCAATTATCCAGATGCTAGTAATAGTACTACTATTCCTATTAGATGTAGTAGCTAGCTTTTGTTAATTGCAACGTTTTAAAGCCATGAATTCAAGACAAGTAACACCCATTAATTTTAACTACCGATAATTTGCATTAGTATCTCTTATACAAGAGTAAGTTTTTTGTAGTTTCACCAAGTCAAGCTGTCAAGCTCGAGTAGGCTCGAGGCTCGCTCGAGCTCGAACTCGAGCTCACTCCCAAGCTCGATCAGTATCTAGGCTCGCTTGAGCTCGGCTCAACTTCATGTCAAGCTCAAGCCTACATAGTCAAACTCGCTCGAGCTCAGCTCGTTGACAGCCCTACATGCATGGCGACTGGGAGCAAGGTAGGTGGTGGGAGTGCCGACCCGGTCTAGCCGAGCAGGAGGCTGTCGGCAGCGAGGAGCAGGCTACGCGGCAGGGAGTAGTGGGCGTGCGCTGGGGATGTATTAGCTATAATCTAAACTTGTCATATTTGTGATGCTTCTTATATGACTTTAGTTGGCTGTGTTAAATGTTGTAGAAATGCTATCAAATTCTGTTGAAATGTTGTCAAAATGCTACTGAATTGCTGTCAAAATTTTGTCCAAATTTTGACACTGTAAATCCCTCCAAATTCTGTCAATATTATTGATATTCGGTCCAAATTGTTATATTTGATTTTAAATATCAATATGAGGGACAAAAGTGAGGGTATAAATGTCATTTTGCTAAATGCTTAACACCGTTAACTTCACCATTCAAAGTAGGGGCAATACGTTGCTTCAGCTCAGAAAAACGGGGGCAAAAATAAAAACCCTAAAAAACGGAGGTAAAATCAATATTGGAGGTAAAAGTAGGGGCAAGAACGATATTGCCCCTTTGAATTTTGGTGAACTAAGTCATCATCCACAATGTACCGTTGGTGTTTTCTCGCCGTTGATAATTTTCAATCATATACAAAGGATGTGCACATATATATGTACAGTAGTATGATATAACTATGGTAATAGGACTATTAATTTTTATTTGGCATCCGAAATAAACTCCGTCGTAAAAAGATAAGGTCCTTTCTTATTAACCTATGGCTTAACTTTGCTTCTGAAAATAATCCGTTGCCATCACTTCATTAACTCCATCCATTAACTCGCGGTGTACGTTTCCTGGATGCGTCACGCGTCCTTATCAACTCTCATGTTTTCCTCCCATTTTTTAATTTTATTTTCTACGTGCAGATTATCTATTTCTGTCTACACATAATTATTATCGCCTTATCTAAATAATAAAGAGCTCTAAATATATAATAGTCTTTCGTACTCCTATATCACATATTCCTAGTAGCATTTCCTCGGTAGTAACTGACCAAAGATGGGGAAATTTATGGTACCCAACATTATCCACTATATATATATCCAGAACAAATTCAACTCATGATAATGTTGTTTCAAAAAAGAAAAAAAAAAGAGAACAACTCATGATAAGCGAGTGCGACTGATCCATCCGCCGATACTCGAAAGGCACCACAAATATCCATCAAATGCCACAGAAACATACAAGAAAATTCCCCTTTGAACAACGAAACAATCGCAGGTTTCAAACATCACCTGCATCTTTGTCCTTTCGCCAGTGAAGTTTCTGTGTACATCCAGACAAAAGAAAAAAAAAGGAGATGCGTAATGGATAGATAGGTGACATATACTAGCTCCTACTGATAGGCATGGATAATTCATAAAACCACATGACTAGCTCCTCCTGATATACATGAGTCATCTCTCGTCCATTGTCTTTGTATGACATTGCGAAACTCTGGTTTCTTTGGGTCTAAAACACGAATATTTTTTTTCTTAACCATCCTTCGGACGACATAGACATAGGCATTTTCCCCCAAACCAATTAACCGAAAATTTTGAATTAGCATAAGTGGAAATGCCACCGCGAAAAAGAAAATGTCATATGCGCACAAAGAGATCACCTATTTTAACACATATAATTGCTTAAAGACTATGGATAATCAAATGAATATCACTAATTTTGTAGTAAAATAACATCATGCGTATCAGAATTTAGATGGTCAAATTATACGTCCAAAATTATGTCATTGTACTAGACAGGCATAATATTTTCTAATGGTCTAATTTGGGAGCAACATTTTCTAATGGTCTATTTTGGGAGCTTTGACAATTCGAGATTCTTGTAGAAGCTTCAACTACCGGACAACAGTCTAGATTTTCACTTAGATTGAGAAGTTATAAATCCAGAAAACGAATTAGAAGTCAGAAGCTGAAAAACTCAGCATATCCAGGTTCTTACTAGCTAG